CAAAAGCACGGCAGAGGAGGAAGGGGGAGGGATAACGCGGGGGCCAGCTCCACGTGGAGAGAGAGGCACCACTGCCACGGGCGGCTCATCAAAACAAGTCTGGGGATGTCCTTTGCAGGCGGCCAGGTCTAGCTGCCTGCAACGGACTTCCCCCCGTTTGCTTTGGTAGAAAGCTCTGCGCGGCAGTTAGAAATCTCTGCGCGGAGGTTTCTAGCGACGTGTGCGGCCGCGCACGCGCGCACCTTAGAGGGAACAGTGGCTAGAACCCGTTCTAAACAGCACTGTAGATTTGTGGAACCTCTTCTATAGAAGAGGTTAGAACTGGCAGGAACCCACCCCTGCTCCAGACCCATTTCACTGCACCAGTGACCCTGAGGACACAGATAAACCTCCAGATGGCCTCAATGACCCTCTTAAAAGAATGCAAATGACCAGCAGTCTGAAAGGAGTATAAATCCTTCCATTCCTCACCATCCAGCGAGAGCTGAAGAAACCTCTTGGGTGAGAAGCAAAATGTCTTCAAAAAGAACAATTGACAGTACAGTGGCCTCTTGAAAAACACACCTTTGGGATAACCAAGACCCGGATGTCTGGGAATCTCCATAGACATTTAGTTATAATTCATTTCCCCCCCCCCCCACTTCTGTTGTGACTTTGAACAGTTGCTAAACAAATAAGTCAAAAACTACTTGTACTAACCAGATCCAAACCTGTTTCCTAAATTGGTCAATTATGTGCTGTCACACTTAACAGAACAGTCACTTCAAGGCAAAATAGAGATACGTCAGCCAGTTAATTCTAGCAATTTCCTGGCTGTATCACATGAAACTATAGTAAATTATGCCCCAAGATATGAATAGAAAAGGCCTTTTCAGGACTCTATGCTAAAGGTTGGCCCAGTTACCAAGATTTGTGAAATATAGAAGTTTATCTATAATTTAGACATACGTTTATAATATTTTACGTTTTATATTTCATATTTTGTGTTCTTATCTTTTTATTGAAAGGTGCTGTGAAGGTGCTGTACGATAAATATAATATAGTGCTGTCACAAACACTGTTGGAATGCTTCTCACAATGCTATTGCAATATACACAAAGTTCTACGATCCGACAACAATATTATGTATAATATACAATATATTACACATAAACTCTGAATTGTCTTTGCTGAAAATGAACATGCAGATCAGCTTTGAAAAAGAAAAGTTGATTTTCATTTTACAGCATATGCACAAAATAAGACTGTTGTGATTTTAAAAAAAATGTTTTCAGTTTTTTAAAAGTAATAATTATTGCCCTCCTTATGTTGGTCAATGACTATATTAAAGATTTGATATGGGGAGGCTGGGAACCCAATAGGCTTATACTTAGGAAATAGGCTTGTACTTAGGAAATGAGGAATATTAAGGTAGTAAATAATTGGAAACAAATATTTTGAGACAGAAATGCATTTATAGGTATCCAGGCTAGACGGACAATAAACACACTGCATGAATGATGTGTTTAATAATCCAGAACTTAAAACATGGTGGATGTTTGGTTCTGTTGCTCAATTAATGCAGCAACCTTTCCTGATATATCTTGTGCAAAATAGTTTTTCTTAATAGCAATAAGCCCCCACCCGATCCAAAAGTTTTTTTTAAAAAATTGCATGCAACTCTTCCACAGCTATTAATGTGTAAGCCATCAGGATTTAAATATAATGTACGACTCACAACTAAAGTATGTGTGTGCGCTTAATGATGCAATGAAGACCACCCAGAAGTTTCAACTGATCCAGAATACAAAGTTTTGGATGCACTGCAGTTTGCTTGTCCTATCACTGCAGCGGGAGCAACATAAGCTCCTGCTTCTATATGGGTGTAATTCAAGGTTCCGCTTATCAGCCTTAAAAACCCTATATAGCACAGGGTCAGGTTATTTGAGGGGGAAATCAAATAATTTGGACATTTTCCAGGTTCTATTAAACAATGTCATCTGCCAGGACATACAGGTGAAATTCGAAAAATTAGACTATCATGCAAAAGTTCATTTATTTCAGTAATGCAACTTAAAAGGTGAAACTAATATATGAGATAAGACTCATTACATGCAAAGCAAGATAGTTCA